GAAATCACCGATGTTGCTGGCGTTCGTCGCTGTGACGTCATCACGTCCACTCGCACCATCGGACTGGCCTTGGTGTTTCTTCCTCTTATTGGATCGCTTCACCGTGGCGGAGGTGGTATTCCCAACATCGCACAGTGGCACGAATATGAATAAAGACGGTCAAAAATATTTTCTACCCTTTTTCGACGTTTTAGAGACTGGGTGCCTTGGGAGAAGTTGCTCAAAATTATAACTCGCATCTTTTGAAATACACACCTGAATAATATTTAAGCTAGTATTACACATCCAAATTCTAACTTTTTCCAGTTACGAGATAATGGTTCCATGTCTTGGACAAAGTTGCAGAGCAGTTGATTTCATGAACATTTGCTAAAGACACCAAATTTCTACATCTTAACTCTGTAGAGCTATAATAGATTTTCTTTTAAGACTACCTTAATATTGGTTTTTTAAGTTAATTAGTGCTTTTTTCAAATTTGATCAATTTATCATGTTCTAAGAAATTGTTGGCATCATTAAAATATACAACTTTGCTGAATACACCAATGCTCTTCATTGACATCAATGTGATATACAGCCCATCAAGCGTTTTTGTGACGTCATATTCAACGGCTCGAAAAGAGGGTGGGCGGGCCCTGGCGGGGTCTAAAACTGGTTGTATTTTGAAGATTACCTTATAAAATAGTACTTCTGAAAATTTCAGCGTTGGGTACTGAGGGGTACCTAGCCAAATCTCGATTCGAAAATGTCAATATTATATACAGCCCATCGGACGGTTTTGTGACGCCATATTGAACGGCCCGAAAAGATGGTAGGCGGCCCCTGGCTGGGTTTAAAACCGATTGAATTTCGAAGATTACATTATAAAATAGTACTCCTGAAAAGTTCAGTGCTGGGTTTCCAGGGGTATCTAGTCAAATTTCGAGTCGAAATAGTCAATGTTATATGTACCCCATCATGCGTTTTTGTGACGTCATATTCAATGGCTCGAAAATAGGGTAGGCGGGCCCTGATCTAGTCGAGAACTGATTGTATTTGGAAGGTCACCTTATAAAATAGTACTCCTAAAAATTTGAGCGTTGGGTACCGAGGGGTACCTAGTCAAATCTCGTTTATATATATTTAGTACAAGTTATAAACCAATGTGTGCTACGAGTGTGCTACTTACTCATGATACAATTTACAACTATATAAAAATTGCATTATCTTGAAATGTTATCAATGGGTTTGTACATCAACTGCATATTCTGAACTTTGATATTTTGAGTATGCCAATATTGAAAAAAAAATATGTTTTAATTACTCCTTACCTGACTATCTTCGATAATATTTGACATGACGATTTCCATGAATCTGCTCCGCCCACACTTTGAACAATTCCATCCGACAAAGATTGAATGAATTCATTTTGAACCACAACTTCAATACAAGTTGTTCGTAAAGAGACGAACCAGCTACAGGCTGAAAGTCTCTATAATAAAGCAAAAAAAAAAAAAGTTGTTCGTGAAAAAAATCACACCTAGATAATTAAATAAACTCTATCGCTCTTTGCTATCTCCAAAACGTCAAGCCCAAAATAGTCATCTGCAGCAGCGTTCAGCGATGTGCACGAGGAAGTTTCAAACATCTGTTGTGAAGTCACGTTCCATGTTCTGAAAAGAGGGTGGTGTGGGTAGGTCCAAAGTTGGAACCCTTTAGAACCGTAGTCAGAATTTTATCATTTATTCTAGTTTTCTTGAAAGTTATACCGATATTTTAGTCCATATTGTATATAATAAAGGGCAAAGAATATACCAATATTATTAGCTTGCATTATAATATTTGCAACTATCAACATATGAGTATCAATATTGCAATGAATGTACATATCAATGTAGGTACACTGAAGAACAAACACATTAAGAACAAACCCATTAAATACATCTCCAGATTAAGCTTAATAATTTAAATAATTTGCAAGTTCAAACATGTGTAGGTTAAAATCTGTTAAAATCATTGATTCATAGCTCAATACCCAACGCGGAATTTTTCAGGAGTACTATTTTATAATGTAATCTTCGAAATTCAATCGGTTTTAAACCCTGCCAGGGCCGCCTACCATCTTTTCGGGCCGTTCAATATGGTGTCACAAAACCGTCCGATGGGTTGTATATAATATTGACATTTTCGAATCGAGATTTGGCTAGGTACCCCTCAGTACCCAACGCTGAAATTTTCAGAAGTACTATTTTGTAAGGTAATCTTCAAAATACAACCAGTTTTAGACCCCGCCACGGCCCGCCCACCCTCTTTTCGAGCCGTTGAATATGACATCACAAAAACGCTTGATGGGCTGTATATCACATTGATGTCAATGAAAAGCATTGGTGTATTCAGCAAAGTTGTATATTTTAATGATGCCAACAATTTCTTAGAACATGATAATTTGATCAAATTTGAAAAAAGCACTAATTAACTTAAAAACCCAATATTAAGGTAGTCTTAAAAGAAAATCTATTATAGCTCTACAGAGTTATGATGTAGAAATTTCGTGTCTTTAGCAAATGTTCATGAAATCAACTGCTCTGCAACTTTGTCCAAGACATGGAACCATTATCTCGTAACTGGAAAAAGTTAGAATTTGGATGTGTAATACTAGCTTAAATATTATTCAGGTGTGTATTTCAAAAGATGCGAGTTATAATTTTGAGCAACTTCTCCCAAGGCACCCAGTCTCTAAAACGTCGAAAAAGGGTAGAAAATATTTTTGACCGTCTTTATTCATATTCGTGCCACTGTGCATCGGTGGGAAGAGTAGCGTACCTATTTGATATAGGTACACTCGTGCTACCCTCACCACTGTTCTTCTCCGCTTTCTCTCAAAGCCTGCTCCGGGAGCGCTGTCTTCTCATCACACGATGCGACCGACACTGGCGATGCGACGAGGCGAATAAAAGTTTGGAATGAATTATCGAACAACTCGACAGAGCGAGCTAACACCGAACTGAACTGCTTGACGATCAAGCAGAGAATCTGTAATCCGAACGTGCAGTTAGCTACCTGTTACATAGACAACCAGCTCTACCGGTACCACATTTTCTCACTTCTCATTGGTTACTGTGTATAGCCAATAGGAAGCGAGAAAATATAGTACCGGCAGAGCTGATTGTCTATATAACAGGTAGCTAACTGCGCCTTCGCATTAGTTGCGATTCACCCGTTCAAAAACAACCAGGAGGCATGACTGGTCGTGGCAAGGGTGGCAAAGGATTTGGTAAAGGAGTCGCCAAGTGTCATCGTGTGATAACATCCAGGGCCTGCCATTCGTCGTCTGGCTCGACGTGGTAGTGGTGTCAAGCTCATCTCCGGTCTGATGTACGAGGAAACCAGAGGTGTGCTGAAGGTGTGCCGAGAAAATGTGATCCGTGATGCCGTCACTGAATACGCAGCTGCCTACACGTCATCATCATCTTCCAAAGGCTTTAAGTCTGTACTACCATCGGCCCTTTTCAGGGCCACCAACATTTTCTAAAAGAGTTAATTTTCAGAACATGTCCCAACTAAAATTCATATCAAAAGGTTCTTTTCAGGGCAGTCACTAGTAAAGGAGGGGACTCGAACCATCATAAGAACCTTTCCTTGCCCCAAAAATCCCTGCATACAAATTTTCACGCCGATTGGTTCAGTAGTTTCCGAGTCTATAAGGGTCAGACAGACAAAAATTTATTTATATATATATATATATACTAGCTGAGTGTGCCCGGTCTTGCTCGGGATTCAATATGAGCTTGAGTTTATGCGCCGATTTAAAAAAAGCATGCTATATTGTACGTAGCCCCCCCCCCCTATTATCTAAGGGGCTACCCCCTATGATTATCTCCTTATACCCTCACACTCGCCCCCACATGCCTAATTTGGTTCCATTTGCTTGATTAGTTCTCGAGTTATGCAGAAATTTCTGTTTCATTTGTATGGGAGCCCCCCCTTACAGAAGGGGGAGGGGTCTCGAACCATCATAAGAACCTTCCACGGCCCCAAAAACCCCTGTATACAAATTTTCACGCCAATCGGTTCAGTAGTTTCCGACAGACAGACAGACAGAAATTCATTTTTATATATATATATAGAAGATGATAATCGATAGATGGATAGATTTACCTAATTAAAAAGGAAATACTAAATACATATAATAGGGGAAATAAATGTAATGTCGGCCTAAATGGACCTAATTTTGGGCCCATACATAAATTCAGCAATCGCTAAATTTTCAATAGCGACCAAAAATATCCATTAGTACCGGTCCAACTAGATAAAACTGATAAATAGCAGACTTTTAGCGATGGGCTTAATCTTAGATCCATAGGCCAACATTAGAGCCATTTCCGCTATAATTAGGAAAATCAACAACTTTTTTTTTTTCCTTTGGTTTGTTTTTTCCGTTGATCTTGTTTTCCGTGCTGAGCACCAATGCTACCGACGTGCCAGGAAGGCAGCTCCCACACCTGGACCCTACCACCTATCGACCCATCAACTCATGAACCGGGGACCAACGGCTTTACTTCCCATCCAAAGGAAGGCGTGATCAGAGATGTTATGCCTCAAGAACATCCCGGCGGCGCCGACTGGGATTGAACCCAGGCCTGCTGGGGTGAGAGGTAATCACGCTTACCACTACACCACCGGCGCCGTTTAATCAACAACTTTTCGAAATGCTCAATGGATGGTCATTCGGGGTAATTCTTTGTGGGATAGTGGCGTTCAGGGCAATGAAGTTCGGGATAGTGACATTCGGGGTAATGTCGCTAACATATTTGAATAGTTTTTACACCAAAAACAAAGTATTTCGGGAAACAGAGTTTCCGGGAGATGTACCGGGAAATTATACATTCCAGGAAATTGTTTTCCGAGGGGGGATTGGCATTTCGGGAAATGACGTACAATCCTTATTCACACTTATAGGAACATACTTTATTAAAAAGAAATACAGTTTTCAGTCATTTAAGCAAACAATTTTTTTTAAGATACTGTTTCGTGGAAAATATGTTGGCGTCTGGTAGTTTACATCAAGGCATGTACAACATCCTGCAAGAGTGGTACGAATTCATTCATGCGAATATACACATTCAAGCAGATTTGATAGGTAACATCAGCTGATTTTTTAGTATGTTCGAAAGAAAGTTTATCATGAAACATTTGCTTTCATTTTAGTGTACCTAAGAACTAACCCGGAAATCGTATACGATAGAATGATGAAACGTGCAAGGTCTGAAGAAAGTTGCGTACCATTAAAGTATCTACAGGAATTACACGAGCTACATGAAAATTGGCTTATCCATGGATCGTTTCCAAGATTAGCACCGGTAATTGTAGAACATTGCTTATAAAATTGTCTTAATTTAACATAATTGTGATGTTCTTATTTTTATTTTTAGGTTCTGGTGTTGGATGCTAATTTAGATTTGAATAACATAAGTTCGGAGTATAAGCGATCCGAAACCAGCATTCTCAAACCAATTCTTATAGACAATACCAACCAGCATCCCATCCTTGCATCACCAAGTAAAAGATCTAGAACTGAATTGTAGTATAGTAACGATATTTCAATAATTTATTTTAAACAGTTTGCAATTATCTAGCCCCCAGCATATGCTGTTTAAGTGTACATGTTAAATTATTACAGTTGTAGAATACAACACATACATTCACAAACAACACACAATATATAGGCCAAAGAAGCAAAAAATTTACAGAATGCTTAAAAAATAGAAACAAATTATGTAAAAACAGATTATATCACCGAAATCAGCTTTCTAAAATGGTATCTCCAAATTACAAATAGTAACAGTTTAGTTTATCCGAAATCTTTCGGATATGGCTATCCCAAATTCATATTCTACAGTAGTAGTAACTAAACACTATTTATTAGTATTACTTAACCATAAGTCGGTACTGTGCCAACACCGTACTTGACACGGTTCCTAATGATGACGCATTCGTCTATTTTTGACCGCATCTTGATTTTGACGAGATATTTTTCATCTAGCGCACAGGCACATCATGTTAGGAACCGCATCAAATACGGCGCTTTCACGGTATGCATAGTAAAACAATTGTTGTCAAATTGGTTTGGTATTTTGCTTCAATAGATGATAACTCTTATTACTCCCATTCCAATACACCGATGAACAAAAATATCAAAACATGGAATTACATTGTCTAAATGCGCTATATGCTAACATATTTCGGATCGTAAAACAAAATCCCTGGCCCTAAGCACTTGTAATGTATTTTCCTTCACAGTGTGCAAAAATTAGATTACCATAAACTTAGTCGAGCTAATATGAAATTAGTGTCTATGAATGAATTCTTTTATGTTTTACCCTTCTTACAAAGAAGGGTATACATCGTTTTTTTCAACTATTTAGGCTTCAGTAAAATGGCACCTGATTTGATCTCGGGTTGGGACCTGGATTCCGAACTTGGATAATCATATGTTCACCCCTATTCTGTATTTCGTTTCGAACGAAATTCACATACAAAATTTTTTTTTTTGTATGAGAATTTCGTTCGAAACGAAATACAGAATAGGGGTGGTTATTTACACACTAATCCAGTCAGTAAAGTTTTGAATTGCGGAACTGTTCGGTAAAAGTTTAAAAATCCGTGGAAAATTCAAAAATGAGAAAATTTATTCCGAACTTGTACAAACTAAATTCTTTTAATCCAATTTAAAATTTGCCGTTTTCATGGACTCCTTACAAATAACGATCATTTTAATTTTTACCGGCTCTTTCAGCAAATATAGACCAACACATGTTCTTATTCTTGCTTAGGGATGCGTATCTGGAGGAACATTGCAAAAGGTCAAATTGACATTAATTGAATTTCTCTTTGAATCACCATGTTAATAAATTTTTAGCTGTTGGTGTAGGCACAACCTAGAAGTAGCAAGATGGGTCAGTTAGTACATTTATATATTTGTTTGTCAATATTACAGGTACAATGCAACCCCAATGATAGTTTGTTTTTTCAAACCATCATTGAAGCTACATTGAACCTGTTGCTGTTGACAAACAAAACAATGCATAAATCAAGTAGATGACCAGCAAAGCTCGTCTAGATGTAAAGATATATGTACCTAAGTCCCATATGAAAATAATAAAATAATTTCGGGCCAACATTATAAGATTAAAGCAATGTTAGTCAAATATATTAAGCAGAACAATGAATTTGGTCAATTCTCTTCATGGATTTTCTCTTTCGTTAATAACTTGGCTGCAGTAAAATACCATATCTTATTCTTTAATTCTCATGGGATGATGCGTGTGGCTCTGGGGGCACCTACAAAATTTTCAGGTGTTGTTAATGCAATGTTCGATGTACAAAATGTCACAATGGCAACAATGATAATTTCTTTGCATTCTTCTGTGTTTTGATGTGATTTTCCGTTTACGTCAGGTTTTGTAAACTTCTCCGGTAATGCCTGAAACATTCCCGGATGTGGTCAATGTGGCCGTGATTAGAGTCGGTGTGTAAAGAGTTACGCCAAGAGTGAAGCCAAGTCGATGTGAATTACACAAGGCCTGGCTTAATCGGCTTATTGGTATTAGTGAAATGTGGAAATGTTTAGTGGTGCTTGTCGCAATGTTTATCTTTTTACACGAAACAGCTGTTTTCTGTGACGACATTTCCAGACCTTGTATGACTGACATCGAAGCCAAGTCTACTTATTGAACTGTCAAACCGGCTACCGTGCAAAGTAAACGAATATTACGATGCTATGAAAGCTCCACGAAAGGTATTGCAGTAAAATATAAAATATAATCGAAGAAATGATCATAAACACGCATATACCAATTGTCATGGGATACGTTTGGTAATAATCAGTAATGAGAATTTGTAACATTTGTTTTTAAGATAATTCGTCAAAATCACTGATATAATGATTTACTCACTGTACCAAACATCACCCTCTGTTCGAATGAAACCTCAGATCATTCAAATCAAAATACCGAAATCGGGTTCTCGAATGACAGCTGCAATCGAATGACGATTGTTTTGTAATCAGATGATGCTCCTCTTGAATACAGAATGAACATTGATACGAGAAGCGAACGGACCTCAGTTGAAATACGTAATGCTCTCGTAGAATAATTGTCATCCGAAATTGGAATGCATATGGTATTGGCACCGACAAACCGACAGGACACTTAATTCTGACTTATGCCCGAAAATCGTAAACGGTTGATTTAAATGTGCAGTGATCCGAACTGTCAAAACTATAGGATTTTTTGATATAGATAAAAATAATTTGTCCAGAATAGATCATACACGAACCAATTCATTACTTTTGTATGCGGATTTATGGCTTAGCTAAATATTTCCCGCGAACACGGAGCCAGATGTCAGTAGTGTGCTTTGGTCAGAAATTTTATTGTTTTGGCCATGGTCATTCATGTCGGTTTGTCGGTGGTATTGATTCAGCCCCATAACTGAAATCAACCAAAACGATGATGTAAATAATTCTATCGAACGTCATTTACAGATAGGAGCTAACAAACGGGGTGGAAACATAGTCATCACTAAGAGAGGAGCGGACCTCGGAGCGGACAGCAGCAGTCGATTTTTTTTATTTCGGTGTGAACCACGCGATAGCCTGTTTTCGAGACTCGCTATTATATAGTTGCTCTTTGTTCGTTTCTAGCAGTTCGGTGCCTTTTGTTGCTACGGTGCAAGATGTGTGAAGTAAAAAACACCATCAAGTTTAGTTTCAGCCATTGTGATGCTAAACCAAACATCGGAGAGATTGTAAATTTCGCCAAAGCACCCGACGCGGATCCGGCTGAAATGGAAGCTGTTTAACGCATTGGTGAGGAAAGGGGAGTCTTCATGAAGTTCAAATCAGAGTAAGCGATGCTCCATGCTCTGACATTCAATTCGGAGGATTTAATCTTCCATTATGCGAATGGAACGACGGCAAAGGTACGCATGTGGCATGCTGGTGAATTCATATAATATGTGCGTGTGTATGACTTGCCACCAGAGGTACCCGACAACGAGCTGGATAAAGTGCTGGGTAAAAACGGAAAAATTAAACGCATCATCCGGGAGAAATTTCCAACTGATCTGTGTTTTGAGGTATATACAGGGATACGCGGTATTATATATGGATGTGAAGAAGGAAATCTCACGGCGTTACATTTCTTCAATCGCAAAGGAAATATATTTTATGATGGCAACAAAGATAAATGTTTTCTGTGCAAGGCGGACAGACACCGGAAGCTTTCCTGCCCCAAGCGGAAGGCTCGGAAGGAACCGGAGAAGCAACTTATGGAAAAAGGAAAGCAGCAAAGTGAAAGAAAACAAAACAGCAGCACGCCGGCGCCGGTGGTGTAGTGGTAAGCGTGACTGCTTTCTAACACCCCAATGGGTCTAGGTTCAATCCCAGCTGAGGTCGGTGGGATTTTTCTGAGGCATAAAAATCTGGTCACGTCTTCCTTCGGAAGGGAAGTAAAGCCGTTGGTCCCGGCCCATGTGTGTTGAATGGGTGCGATATCCTACGCAGGTGTGGAAGCTGCCTTCCTGCACATTCGATTGCCGTCAATGGATGGCAATCGATGTCCGTCGGTGATTGGCACTAGATTGCGGAACAAAGACCAACGTTAAATGAAGGAAAAAAAAAAAAAAAAAACAGCAGCAGTACGTATGCTGGTGTAGTGGTGGAAGGTGCGTCGTTAGTCATTAGCGACCAGGAAATTCGGGTTCAATGAAAATGAGTAACAAATTCGGGAAAAAAAGAAGTTGCGTGCCCGGGAGAAGATCGCTTTGTCGCCGCTTCGATCGCCACCGAGAAAAATTCTATGATAAAATGCATTTTTATATCGTTTTTTTTGTATTTTGGATATCAAAATTGGTATTCCATGTTACTAGGCTCCACTAAGTTATTTTTATAACATTTGAGCCTCCCAAATAAACGAAATGAACAAAAAAAAAAATAGTTTCGATTTGAATTCTTTGACGCACATGGTTTATATGTTTTGGATATAAAACTATCGTTAAGTAAATATTTTTGAAAATACAAAATAAAAGCAGTTTCTGACATACTTCAGAATCGTAATTTGTTGTTAATAAATGAACATTTATCAGTTTCACTTCAAGTTAGACCTATGGCCTTTTTGCCCCATAAGAGTGGCCCTCTACCCCATAGCATTTTTAGAACAGGTAGGGTAAACGCTCCTATAGTTGCGGTACGTTAGAAGCGTTAGGTTCCTATAGTTGTGTATTGAGTCTCCATGCACAACTATAGGAATCTAACGCTTCTAACGTACCGCAACTATAGAAGCGTTTCCCCTACGACATCACATTTTGAAAAAAATATTTACATTTTAATTTAATTTCAATGATAATACATGGAGACAAGGTTATACACCTACAATTTGGTGCACAAACTCCTATAAATATTCACGGAATCGCATATAACAACGCACCATCGTTAGGGTGACCTTCTTGTCCCTAGTTCCCCTATCAGAGATGGTACGAATATTGGTAAACCGTGGAAACCGAAGATTATCTCCACCACGAAGGAAGTTTCCTCTACCAACAAACGATTTTTGTATCCATGTTGGAATGGCTGTTCATGGCTATTCAATATGGAAATGTGAACAATCGAACTATAAATCTATTCTTAAATCATTGTCCTCTGAGCGCTGTATGCTTAACAGTAAATTTTTAAATAAATATCCTTTATTTGGATGACATTCATATGGGTGCTCATCAGTTGGTGACGAATTCTACCATAAATCAATCATCCGAAATTCGAAAGCATATTGTTAAAAAGCTCGAGCAATGCACTAATCATTCGAAGTACTGCAGATGTTTTCGTTCAGTGCAAATGGGACGAAGATGTTGCTTTCCATTTCTGACATAGCGTTATCGTTGATCGTTTTTTATTTTGTTATTTTGAGATATTTGTGATGCCTTGGTTTTGCACAAGTCGGAAATTCGTCACTTTCCTGAGGGCATTTGGAACATGTGCCGAGGTTGCCAATCTGGTCCTAAGCACGGAACATGACCACAATTGATCTTGTTTTTGAATTCTGCATCCATATTCTCGTTTACATTTGAACCGTATTTTCCATACATATTAAAAATGTTTGCATAAAAAAAAATACTTCGAACGAAAACGAGGATATTAGCGCTAATGTGTTTTGTTGTGTCGCATGATGTGTTTGCCTCGTTTCAGGTTGTTTCTAGTCCCAACATACTTATTCACCGGAACATGTTCCGGAAATATCTCCGGAACCAGTTAACATATTCCAAAAATATGCAACAGCGTATCTTGGAGCAGTGGTTGCTGAAAATATATTTTTTTTTACATATACACACATACGTTTTAGGATCTCGTCGAGCTGAGTAGAATTGTATATGACACTCGGTCCTCTGGACCTCGGAGCGAAAGTCGGTTTTCAAAGCGGTATGTATAACCGTATAACATTCTTTGTAAAGCCTGGTACGCGCTGAAAAGTAAAGGCGTTTTTACCGAGGGGCGATCAACTTTATAAATCAGCTGAATTGT